GGTAGGTGGGGCTGAGAGAGCTCTTTCCAGAACTGTCCTGGAGAGAACAGCTCTGACAGAACTATGGCTTGCCCAAGGTCACATCCAGCAGCTGCAAGTGGAGTGGGGAATCAAACCCGGTTCTCCCATTTTAGAGTCCGCGCAGTTAACCACTACACCAAACTGGCTCTGTACTGCTAATACCCACAGTGTGAGTGGCAGTAGGACCAGGTGGCGTCTCTCCCAGGCCACCATCCCCCACAGAAACAGAACAGCAAGCCAGCCGGTTCTCCCATTTTAGAGTCTGCGCAGTTAACCACAACACCAAACTGGCTCTGTAGTGTTAATACCCACAGTGTGGGTGGCAGTAGGACCAGGTGGCGTCTCTCACAGCCCCAGATCCCCAAGTGCATTTCCCAGGCCACCATCCCCAACAGAAACAGAACAGCAAGCCGGGGGACCTACTGCCTACTCTCTGTAATGGCAGCTCTCCAGGGCCTCAGGTGGAGATCTTCTGAATCGCCTGCTACATGATACTTTCAGTCGGAGGTGCCGGGGATTGAACCTGGGACCCTCAGCGTGCAAAGCAGATGCTCTACCACCAAGCTACGGTCCTGCTGCCCTGAACCAGCTCTCTCTCTCTCTTGCAAGTGAACCACCACTGCTGGAAAACCTACATCTCATGTGCCCGGCAGCTTAGCCACTCTGCAGTTTGGCCACACCCACAACTCCATCAGGCTGTGTGTTCCTTTACGGGTCTGGGGTAAAGCCCAGCCCAGTCCCGAGAGGGTTTCACTGCACGGCTGTTCAGTCCTGTAATCTAGTTTCGGCAGTGCATTTTTTTGCTCTGTGTACCCGACCATTCTATTGTACACATTACACTGTTTCGAGTGCGTTATCTCATCTCGTAATCCGGTTTTACCGCACTGTTTGCTGAGCGTGTTATGCCATTCTTATGTCACTGTCGTCGATTGTGTAATCTCCTTTAGGTGCCAGCGAGAGACATAAAATAAACAAAATAAAAGTTCATGGTAACTCATAACGACGGCAACCAGTGTTGGAAGTTCAAACGTTCACAGTGTTCCCTCTAGGCTGAGTTAGTGTGAGCTAGCTCAGTTTTTTAGCCTCCGGCGCACACATTTTTGCCTTAGTTTGGGAAGGAGCAAACTAATTTATGCAGTAGCCAAATCGCTCACTCACAACTTTAATGCCAAAACGGAGCTCAAAACGTAGAATTTTTGCTCACAAGACTCCACAGCTTAGAGGGAACCTTGGTTACGGAAGCGCCTGCTGCTGGGGCAAGGACATTTCCAGTGACTGGCCCTATGTTAAATATATGTTTATATGTATTTTTATGCGATTTGTAAATGTACATCGTCACAGAATGATGCTTGCAATTGTATGAAACCCCCATGAATACAAACACAATTTCTCCAAGAAGGTTTTATACTGGAGGGGATTGTATTTTTATGCGATTTGTAAATGTACATCATCACAGAATGATGCTTGCAACTGTATGACACCCCCATGAATACAATTTCTCTAAGAAGGTTTTATACTGGAGGGGAAGGTACACACACACACGTGTATATGTCCGTATGTATGTATGTATGTAACTAGGAGCTGCGGTGGCTCAAGTGGTTAAGATGCTGAACTGCAGGCTGTGGAAGGTCAGTAGTTCAGCAGTTCGAGACCCGAGTGTGCCGCATGATGGAGTGAGCTCCCGTCTCTAGTTCCAGCTCCTGCCAACCTAGCAGTTCGAAAGCAAGAAATTGCAAGGAGATAAATAGGGACCACTTCGGTGGGAAGGTAACAGTGTTCCGTACGCCTTGGTGTTTAGTCATGCTGGCCACATGACCACGGAAACGTCTTCGGACAGCGCTGGCTCTTCGGCTTTGAAATGGAGATGAGCACCGCAAGCCTAGAGTCGGATTCGACTGGCTTTCGAGCAAGGGAAACCTTTACCTTTACCTTATGTATGTAACTAAAGATTGTTGTATTCTGATGCACGGTTTTAATATTTTTAGCTTGCTTAAAGCTTCTGTATTCTAACTTTAGCTTTTTAATTGACAGGGACGATTCTACACACAGGTTTTCTTTTCTTCCTTCAGCCTTTCTGGTTACCTAGTCTGCTCTGGACTGGAATTTTCTCCCTTCCTTTTGTTTGTTTCTGCTAACCATTATGTACACAACAGGCAGGGCCTCACCGATGGCCACGTTTGCAGCCATGTTGTAGCTGTAATCAAAGCGTACGAGCGTCAGGTAGGAGATGTGGCAGGCCAAGAAGAGGAGCAGGAAGCCCCCAAAGGCGGTGGCAAAAGCCGGACGTTTCAACCCCAGCGTCCTGGAACAAAAAAGAGACAGCGTGTCAGAAAGACACGGTGGGCTGTGGCATGCTGCAAGGGTCAGTCTTGCCCATTTCCCCTCTGCATGTGGGAGAGGGAGCGTGGTGAAGGCCAGTCCCATTACCTTGTAAGGATTTGGCCGGGATGAGGTGCTCACTTGCTTCTTCCCCCAAACATCTCCTCACCGAAGCAGAGACAAGTCTGACCTTCCTCCACTTTACTGGAGGAAGCGGTGTTTCACAAAACATAGGAGGCATCACCCTTGGGTCCGCAAGGAGCTCCCATTTTGAAAATAGTGGCCTCCGTAACAGGAAGAAGCTTGGCTTGGGACTGCCGAACATTCTGTGGAACCACCCAGCACGGCAGCCATTTTGTGGCTGGCCAAGCCGAGCTCTCGAGGTGGCCATTTTGTGGAAGCCCTCACGAACTGTTCTCCAAATTCCAAAAGCGCCCACAGGTTCAACGAGGCTGGGGACCCCTGGCTTAGACCAATGTTTACTTCCTTCCATCCCTCTGATTAACATTAAGCCAAGGAAACTGGGTGGGGTGGGGTGGGGTGGGGAGACTCACCGGACGCAACATAAATATACAGAGTGAAGAATGACGGCTGACGCGCAGAAATAGTCCATCTTCTGTGGGAAAAGAAATCCAGCTAGAGAACTGAACCAGTCCTCGCTCCATACTCGATAACTGGCTTAAAAACAAAAGATCAGTTCTTCCTAGAATTGCTGATTGGGGAGGGGGGAGGAAAGCCCAGGCCAGAACGGAAGGAAACGGGTTTTTTTGTAGCAGTTACGGAATATACCAGGGGTGGCCGAACTTGCTTAACGTAAGAGCCACATAGAAGATGTCTGAGAGCTGCAAGATATGAACAGACATGTTTTTAATTGGAAAATATGGGAGGGCTCCTAGTGTCCTGGCCCCACTGCTGGACCTCCTGATGGCACCTGGTATTTTTGGCCACTGTGTGACACAGAGTGTTGGACTGGATGGGCCACTGGCCTGATCCAACA